TCCATGTACAGAACTGTTATTATTCAACTATGCCAAGGTAAATACAGTTTTCCATTCTATGGCACCTTTAATGCAATTAAATCTCTTTAACTGGGGATGCACTGATACCACTTTTTCCAGAACGAGTCCAATACAGATACTTTTATTTCCGGTACTTTCCGATACCTATACCTGTAATTTCTTTTACATATTGGGTACAGAAACCAAAAAAAAATATTAATCATGTTAGCTGGCTTCATTTAGCAATTAGACATTTCCTTCAGTTATTTTCACACTTAATTATGCCCGCTAAAATGTATTGTACAAGATTTTGTTACTTTCACTGTTCATTTTATTGTTCTATGGTATTTCATCTTTAATTTAATAAAGCAATAAGCCCCAAGAAGCCGTGGTTTACAGTGAATTTTTAACAGCTAAGGGGCGTTGTTAGGCACGACGCGAAGCGGAGTTCACAACTGTTCAGAAACGGTTCACAACTGTTCAGAATCGGTTCACAACTGTTCAGAATCGGTTCACAACTGTTCAGAATCGGTTCACAACTGTTCAGAATCGGTTCACAACTGTTCAGAATCGAGTTCCTTCACGCTGTGTTAAAATAAAGCAATAAGCCCCAAGAAGCCGTGGTTTACAGTGAATTTTTAACAGCTAAGGGGCGTTGTTAGGCACGACGCGAAGCGGAGTTCACAACTGTTCAGAAACGGTTCACAACTGTTCAGAATCGGTTCACAACTGTTCAGAATCGGTTCACAACTGTTCAGAAACGGTTCACAACTGTTCAGAAACAGTTCACAAATGTTTCTGAGGAACTACATTGTTTGGTGGAAGAATATTTGTTTGGTGGAAGAATACTGTAATACAGTATTCTTCCACCAAACAATGTAGTTCCTCAGAAACAGTTGTGGTTGCAACAAAGTGGTTGCCAAGCAACACACAAAGTAAACAAATGTGTATGTTTGTAGAGTAATTTACAACAGCTTCGAACGCGGCTCAACCAATCAGAATCAAGGACCGGAACGATCCATTTTGTAATACACATTAGAGCTGCTCCATTGCTGTTTTCCTGTAATAATTCAGGGAACCATTCATTATACATAAATCTTGTAACAGCGATGAACACATTTTCTGAATTTAACATTTTTTATCATCGGAAATGTGCTGCGACTTATATTCCAAAACGACTCGTATGCAATATGCAGTTAACGTCAAGCAAAAGATGCACAATGCGCACACACATTTGTATAGGTGCAGAATGAGAGAGACATGTATAGCTTAGTGCATTTCACACAGGCTGCTAGTTTCACTTTCGCTTTAAATAAAGTCCTATAGGCTTGACGTTAAAATAAATGTTATTTATAGTGAATGCCACTAATTTTTGTTTGTTTTGTATTCACTTGTGTGTGCTAACTGCTAATGGAGGGAACGGCAATCAAGATCATGCAACAGAAGTGTGTGCGTGCTATCTCTCGCTCCTTACCGTCAAGTAACTTGTAACACTAGTAACTTGTACATTGTTTTACTTACTTGCTTTTGACATTTCCGACCGAACTACATACTTTCCAGCACTTTGGATGGGATAAATGCAGAGCACTAATTCCGAGTATGGGTCACCATACTTGGCCACATGTCACGTCCCTTTTCCAGCGATGTCTGTGAGAAAGGGATATTTGTTCGACAAGCTCATGCATCTATGCCGCCGCACGCTCAATCCACTTTGCTTATCAGCTCGCGCATACATGTTGAATGTTTAACATTATATTAATTATGATATAATGCAACATGTCTACTTCATAGACATCCTTAATCCTTAGAAATATCTAAACATCTAAACGTTTGCAGCGTTGAGCTATGTGTCCAATCACAGACGTATCTGTTGATTTCTGGAACGCAATTGCCAATCAGAGGTGTTTAAGTTAGAATTCACTCACTACTCCAAACGCTTGAGTTCTGGAGCAGGACTGAAAAATCCATCCTGCGCAGGTCTCTAGTGGGCTATCAGTTTTTGGTATCGGAGCATTTTAATGAGTACGAGTAGGAGTCCAGGTGCGCAGTATCGGTATCGGTGCATCATGATTAGGGATGTAACGATTAACCGCGAGCCGGTTGAAAATCGATTAAAATATGTGACGATTCAAATCGGTTGAGATGCTAAACAAATCGCGATTCATTTAGGTGTAGGAGTTTATATGAATGAATGTCTGAGGGGAACCTGCTGTCTTTAGAAAAGTTTAGATAGTATTTTTTCTTTCATCTTGCCTCTGTATAATGCATATTAAAGTTCAGCATTTTGTCCAAGCAATAATAAAAGGACACATTTAATTTATAATTTGTCTTAAATCTCATTTTGTTAAAAAAAAACAAATTGTGAATCGAATCGTGAAATCAAAATCGTGAATCGAATCGAATCGTGAGTTGAGTGAATCGTTACATCCCTAATCATGATCTTTAACTTTTATCTCTTTCCCACATCTGCAGTTCCCAACAGCGTTTGAGTTTAATGAACGTCTCCTGGTGGTAATCTTGGATCACCTGTACAGCTGCCGCTTTGGCACTTTCCTCTACAACTGTGAGAGTGCCCGTGAAAGCAATGTAAGAAATAACACACAAACACACGTCACAAACAATTGGTGTACCGGTGATATTAAACCACATTAATATATAAATCCTGAAGTTCCTTCCTACCCTGAATATCAGTAAAGTGTTATATTTTATAATGCAATCCATAATTATTATTTTCACTGATTTTACATACAGCCACTGAATGGTGGCCTTCCAAATACGGTGGAGCCAAAAGTTTGCGACCAGCAGAAAATGCATGCTTTTTGCATTTTTCTCATTTAATAAAATTTATAATTTTTTCCAGCAAAGGATTACAAATTAATTGATTTGAGCTGAATTGAGAATTTACTTGACATGTCTTAATCAGTTTGTCATGATTAAAAAAAAAAACCTTTGTTTATTTCCTGGTTTAACTAGATTTTGAATCTCAGATTAAAAATGTGGTCTTACTTTTGGACCTCACTGTATGTTAGTCTATAATTATCACATGCATTGTGGAAACAGGATGGATCTATTAAAATGCGCTGTACTCTACCTGTCTTTCTTTACCTTTATCACTCCTTTGTCTCTGAATCTCTGAAATCCAATCTTCTTCACTGCTTATTGGAGGCCAGTTGTCATCAGTGGGATATATTGGCCTTTTCTTTCTTTCTCTCACACGCACACATTGCTTTTTATTTCTCTCTGTACTCATTTTGTGAAGTAGAGCATGAGTAAAAGGGATGCTTCACTGACTCTCAGTCGGAGTCGAGTGCACTTTGGGGAGATGAAACATTCATTCTAAAGCCGTCCACCGCAACAACAATGTTAGGGAACACCATCCTACTTTACATCTACTGCTAACCAAAGGATTCAACACCTTACCTGCTGTATTACCGATATATATTCAACAACTTAACAGCTGCTTCTGTTGTACCAATATATTAAATCACCTGTACTTAAGTTCAAAAGACATATTAGAATGATTTCTGAAGGATAATGTGACATTGAAGACTGGAGTAATAACTGCTGAAAATGTGGCTTTAATCACTGGAATTAATACGTTAAAATATATAATCATAGAAGTTATTTTTAAGTAGTACTATTTCACAGCATAACTGTACTGATATTGTACTTTGATCAAATTAATGCAGCCTTGGTGAGCATAATAGACTTCTTTCAAAAAATTTCAAAATCTTAATTATTCCAAACTTTCGACTGGCAGTGTATATATTTAAACTCCTGTCATTTTCTTTAACATAGAATAATACTTAAGCTTCGCTTCAAATAATGGAGTAGTGTTTATTCAAATGCCATCTTTCTGATTTTTCTATTCTTTTTTCTCTCAATTTTGTTTAATTAGAACGTTCGGGTGAAGACGGTGTCTCTGTGGTCTTTTGTCGACAGTGACACATCCTTGTATATAAACCCCTTCTACACTTCAGAATCCAGTCGTGTGCTTTACCCTGTTGCCAGCATGCGCCACCTAGAGCTTTGGGTGACTTATTACATCCGGTGGAACCCTCGCATACAACACCAGGTATCAACATACATTCACACTCAGGTTGTGGCTTCTATAGCATTTTGTATGGTAATAAGCATTATTTAAGATGACTTTCTTAGGGTATATACAAACGGATGTTTAAAGGGGGTGGAAGCATGTGCATCTTTTCTATAGTGGGTGTTTTTGCCTCTGGGTGGGATTGAGTGTTTGTGTGTGTGTGTGTGTGTGTGTGTGTGCACCCGATTCATCTGTGCAGAAAATCCTCTCTCTCCAGTTTAATTACGTCCTGACTGGCATTGCAGTGAACTGTCACTCAGAATGTCCTTATCACCACACACACACACATGCATTCTGTTAAAGAGGTTTTGCAGGAGCCGCTCCAGCATTGGCATAAATAACCGTTTTACCACCTTAGTCATAACAAAGATTAATGCTGTTTTAAATGTACATATTAAATGCTACAAAAACAATAGACCAGTAAAAACATTCAAATGTAGTGAGTACAGTCCATAGTGCCACATTTTTATCATAAAAATGCAGATTTCCTTATTTGAAGTCAGAGTGTTTTTGCTGCACTCTGGTGGCTATTTGACACAGTTGTCACTTCACATGTGTGCATGTTTGTGTATATTTGTGCATATCAGCAACAGATCACCACACACACACACATGCATTCTGTTAAAGAGGTTTTGCAGGAGCCGCTCCAGCATTGGCATAAATAACCGTTTTACCACCTTAGTCATAACAAAGATTAATGCTGTTTTAAATGTACATATTAAATGCTACAAAAACAATAGACCAGTAAAAACATTCAAATGTAGTGAGTACAGTCCATAGTGCCACATTTTTATCATAAAAATGCAGATTTCCTTATTTGAAGTCAGAGTGTTTTTGCTGCACTCTGGTGGCTATTTGACACAGTTGTCACTTCACATGTGTGCATGTTTGTTTATATTTGTGCATATCAGCAACAGAGTCCAGTGGAGCAGCGCTATAAGGAGCTACTGGCGTTGAGGGATCAGTACCTGAAGAAACTGGAGGAACTGCAGCTCTCAGACTCCACCCACTTGACAAACAGCTCCACCCCCAACGCTGCCACGCCCAATCAGCACATCACACACTTACAGACACCGTTTTGATCCCACTCGCAAGCTGTTACAGACATTGGACATTTGTACATAGCAATAGTGATAATTATGGTAACACAATTAGTAGTGATGTCTGCGATAATGAGTAACAAAACAATTATGCAATAAACCACAGTACGGCCTTCATCACGCAAAAAAAAAACGTTAAACGAAAAGAGAAGCCTTAAAGTGACAGTGCTGTTTTTTTTCATGCCGCATACCATGGAAGAAAGTGAGTCAGATTACGTGTGTGTATCCCAGACGCCACTTGGATACTGCTTGGGATAGTCTTGTGACGATTGAAAGCGATCAAGTCGGACGGACGTATGTGATTTATGTGTTACGTTATGTGTGTTATTAGGGTTCTGAAGTGTAGATCTGAGTGAAGAACATTTTTGGATGTTGAGCACTAGTAAGATGGCATGTAAATGGTGTTTAGAGATGCTGGTCTTGTAAACTGTAATCTGCATGGTGTCCAGTTAATCCAGTATGAAGCAGGGTCGTCAACCTTTGGTAGAGAAATCATTTCATTAGTATACTTGGTTTAACTGCTTGGCAAACTCAAATGGCTGACCTCAGAAGGTAAAGGAAGCAGATATGTTGTCCTCCGTTGATATGTAGGAAAATGTTCTGAAGCAATTAATATTAGCTTGTTGAACAGAACCAGGGTTTTTTTTTTTTAAGCGAGCGACGTGGATACCTTTCCGGTGCCTTGACTCATATCTGAGGTTTTCAGGTGTATATTTTTTAGAGAAACATTGTTTTTTCTTTATGGCAGCATCAGCGGTAGAATAGAATGATTTCCATTCACTGTGCGTTTGAGCAACAGGTAGTTTCTTCTCCTGCTGAGGTCTGGAGTTTAACAATTTGAAGCCCTACATGCTAGTGGCTTTTGGTTATACCCTGTAAAACGATGTGCAGTTGCCACGGAAAGCAAATATTTTGTTTCTGATGGAGCTGACAGTATTGCTCCCAACGAGACGTAGCGTGGTCTGCAAAGTCTTTTGGGTAGGATGGAGTGGCTGGGATATGAAGCGGTGGGATTGAGCTGTTCCAAATTCAGCCTTTTCCTGAGGAAGAGAGCGGTGACTGACACGGGGTGATAGAGGAGGGCTACGGTGAGCCATTGCTCATGCTGCCACGGAAAACTGAACTTCTAAAGACTTTGACCTCAATGAGGATATGAAGTTTAAACCATAGTGTGTGTGAAGAAGACAAACAAGTTCAATAAACAAACAAACCATTTGCGGTTGGTTGTTTTTAGGGGGAAAAAGACAGAAATCTATTTTTTATTTTGTACAAGTACCAGAACGATGTAATTACCTCAAACAAAAACCTATTTTACTGTTGAAAGTTCTATTGTTGTAAAATATAATTATTTTATTCAGTGTAAAATTTGACCGTTTTATAAAAAGGAAAGTGATTAGAAAATTTTTTTGGTTGGTTTTGGTAACTAGGTAGTTTGTTGGACATCCTCTTATAAGTATAATTTCTTTTCTTTTTTTAATGGGCATTTAGGTTTTGCTTTGTAACATTTTAAAGATCTGAAAATGATCTGATTCTGTAGGGAATTCTTTTGTTCTCAATCCCATTGCATGAGATTGAGTGAAGGAAAGCTGCACTCTGAATTTTTTTTTTTTTTTCTGACATTATCTTAAGTTAGACATAATAGTTTTGCGGGATATATTTTTGTTTTGTATTCCCACATGTATCCTTTATTTGTTGGCCAGCTATTGTTCTGTACATAATGCTGATTAAATTAATTTAAAGAGTTCACAAGGAAAAGACTGTATGCTCATTATTGTACTTCTCAGGCATTCTGATTGTATGACAGCGGGCTTTTTAAAGGTTGCTTGCATTACTATTATATGCAGTACTACTTATAGCATATAAACCACCCAATGCAATTTCCTTTTTGTCTAGAATGACTGATCACCTTTAAAAAGATGTTATTCAAGACCTGCAAGCATGCATTGACTGCAATGAAAATGCATACTCTAATCACAAAAATTGATTTACTGTCACAGTGATACGAAAACAGCATAGATATAAAATGATTTCCAGACAATTTAATAAGTGCAAGCCTGATCTAAAAGCAAACAGATGTTTCCTTAGTTACATTAATGAGGTACATTGCAGCGTCGGCGCCACGGGGGGGAGCTTAGGGGGCCCGGCCCGGCCACCTCGGCCACTGTGCCCCCTCACCTCTGGTGCCGTCTCTGTAGTGGGCGCCCTGATTTTAGTCGGTGAGGCAAGGTACTGCCCAGGGAAGGTTTCCCAGGCTGTTAAATACACAGATTAAAAGCGAAATGTTTTCATTTTGGTTCGTTCTTAGCAAATAAAAAAAGTTTTTTCGTTCAGGTTATGCAGAGCGAAATAAGAACGGTGCTGCATTTAGAAAGAATTCTTATTTACTTTGCTATTATTCTTGAATTTTCAAACTGGTAACACTTTGCACTTTGCAGTTTCGAATTATGCCTTTACTGTATGACCAAAAATTACGGAGTAGTCTATTTTATGTTTCAGCTGTTTGATCGCGCCAGCGCCTCACGCGCACACTAAGCTACTGCATTCATTGGAAACAGTGCATCCGTTTACCGTGCTGTTCGGCGTGAGACCCGGTCCACTGTGGCATATTTTTGCTCATTACGATATTTTTCCGTCGATACTGGAACGCGCGTGAACTACAAAGCCTATTTTACCTAATAAGGCTAATAGTTTAGCTTCAGCTACATCACAAATATGGACACATTTGGATTTGTGCCTGAGAGAAGTAAGCCCAACTTTACCTTACGTTTCTTTATAAATTAATTTGTTTTGGCATGTTTATTGCTAAGCATATATTATTATATACTGCAATTATATTTATCCATTAGAATTATATATTTTTAAATTCTTATTCTGTTCTGATACGGTTAAATTTAAAGGATTTGTTGTAAAGTGAGGGGAACTAAA